AACTAGAAGGATGTGCAGCTATGACATACAACTATCTACTGGGGCTTTGGGGGAAAAAAAAAAAAAAAAACTTTAAAAAAAAAAAAAAAAAAAGAAAGTGCTAGAAAACATAAGAATATAGAAGCATATATTCCATTAGCTATAGAGTGATGATATTATCACATGTTGTGTATCCCCAGGAAAACTCCATTGTAGACTCCTGAGAGAATGAGAGTAAAAAAGGCAGCTAATTTTAGTGTTACTATGAAATTAGTTTTTGTTCCATAGACCAGGTCCTCAAAGGGTTTTGGGGACCCATAGACTGCGTTTGACAAGCCGCTGTTCTAGATTATTTCTTCCATACCTGGGGCTTCCACGACTGTCTCTATGCTAGTGACACTCTCGTCTGTATCCCCAGCGCGGACCACACTACTGAGTTTTAGACTTGTATACTCGCCTGCTGCACTCCCTGGACCACTGCCTTAGCTTGATGCTCTCTTTCTCTTTGGCTGTTGCACATGGCATTTGACCTGCCCAGGATTTTCTTGTTCCTTTTGTTCACCTGGGAAACTACTGTATTGTGAGCTTCTTGGGTGCAGGAACTAGGCATTTTTATATCCCCAGCTTTTAGCAGAATTCCTAGCAGTGGTAGGCTGCTCAGTAGATGTTGCATTAAATTGAATCAAGGAAGAATTCTAGCCTCATAAACAGTGAGTTTGCAGTTCATCCCAGGGTAAATTTTTTTCTGTTTATGTCTCATCTCATTCATTCTATATGGGTTTGTATTAGCTTCAGTTCAGAGAAAAGGATTCATAACCTACCCCAAATGCAGGACAGCCAACCCCTATATATTAACTCACCCAGTGGTTTTTGTTTTGTTTCCTTTTGCCTTGCCTAGAGTGTAATACATTCTGAAAGGAAGGTATTTGGACTGAGGACTCAACATCTTAATTTTTAGCTCTGTCTCTGACTATTGACAGTATTTTGCAAAACACTTAGTATCTGCTTCTCTCCATTAAAATCACCTGATTTCCACCACTACTTGTGGTGGAAAAAATGTATTCATATATTTTAGTTTCTCTGAAGGAAGATGTTCTAACCTCTAAATGGTAACGAACATTATATGCCAGAGACTGTTCTAAGTGATTTATGTAGATTAACTCATTTCATCTGTGTAAGTGGTCTGTGAGAGGCAGATTCTTTTATTAATCCCATTTTACTTTAGGAAAATGAGGTACAGAAAGGTTAAGTAACTTGCCAAAGGTGGCATAGATATATAGGGTCTGGAGTTGAACTTGGAGCTTAGTTTGGCTCCAGAGGCCGTGCTCTTAACTACTGTAAGTAGCTTCCTCTCAAATCTAAATACATTACTTTTATCATTAACCTGTGTTAGTACGCCTGCACAGATGGTCATTTTAGTATTATTTATAATTGTGAAATTGAAAATAACAAGAGAATACCTAAATAAATAATGATATGTATATACAATGGATAGTTATTTTATTTTATTTTATTTTTTTGTGAGGAAGATCAGCCGTGAGCTAACATCCATGCCAATCCTCTTTTTTTTTGCTGAGGAAGACTGGCCCTGGGCTAACATCTGTGCCCATCTTCCTCCACTTTATATGGGACGCCGCCACAGCGTGGCCTGGCAAGTGGTGCATCCATGTGTGCCCAGGATCTGAACCCAGGCTGCCAGCAGTGGAGCTCACGCACCTAACTGCTACGCCAGGGGGCCGGCCCCAGATAGTTATTTTAAAATCACATTTTAGAAGGAGACTTAGTGACATGGAAAAATACCTTAGGTTGAAAAAGTAAGATAAAAATCACAGTTTTTGTTTGAAAAGCATATATAATGGATTTATATGTTACCTATACATATATAAATATAGAAATATTTATTTTAAAAGACTGGAAAGAAGTATAATAATGATTCCTTGTGATTAGTGTAATTGTGGGAAATTGAATTTTTAAAGAAATACTTAAAAAAATTTGTTGGATGCTTCCCATGTGCTAGGCACCAGATTAAATCGTGTGTGTTTCTGCAGTGACCTCTTCTGTTAGTCCCATGATGTAGGTCCTACTGATTTTTCAGATGAAGAAACTGAGGCCTAGAAAGATTAAGTAACTTGCCTGGGGTCATGCAACCAGTAAGTAGAAGAGTTGGGACCTCTATATTAAATTCTTTCTGTTTTGTATTTCCTAAACTTTTTATAATTTGTATTCTTTACATGATCAAAAACAAAATTTTAAAAATTATGCAAACATATTGGGACCTACAACAAGTCAGACTTGTACGATCTGATAGGATTTATTCATTTGAATCATTGATCCCTTAAAATAACTATGCAAAATAACAGAAGCATGGGACTTGAGAGAAATTAGATCAAGCATTTAAAAAGTTAAAACAGGGCCGGCCCTGTGGCTTAGCGGTTAAGTGCGCTCGCTCCGCTGCTGGCGGCCCGGGTTCGGATCCCGGGCGCGCACAGACACACCGCTTCTCCGGCCATGCTGAGGCCGCATCCCACATACAGCAACTAGAAGGATGTGCAGCCATGGCATACAGCTATCTACTGGGGCTTTGGGGGAAAAAAAAAAAGAAAAAAAAAAAATAAAAAAAAAAAAAAAAAGTTAAAACATACACAGTGGTTTCTATTCTACCAAGGATGTTTTTGACCCTTTACTATGGAGAAGTGACTTTTTTTCTAGCGTGGGTTGCAGCTAGTACCCTTTAATGAAGTGAATCTGATGCGTATGTTGTAGGCCAGTTAACATATGATAAGGCTGAGCATATCATATGCTGTAATTGCATAAAGCATTTTTATGACTGTTTAAGAATTCCTTAACCATTTTTGTTGTGGTTGCTAGTAGTTCCTTTTGACTTGTTGGATCCCAATGAGGTAAATGTGGCCAAATGCCCAAAGAAAAAGATTTTTGTGTATGTGAATATGTGGAATGTCCCCCGTGGGCATGGTAAGAGAATTTTTCTAATATAAGTATATATCTGTAGTTGACAAATGTATTTAATGAAAGTTAGAGATATTTGGTGAGCGTCTATAATCTTCAAGAATAACATCATCACAGAAGGCAATTGTCATATTTTCTTAGAATTATCCCATTGTCAGAGGTGACTAGTAGGCTAAATGGGTCACTGATTGACCCTACCACATATTTCACACATTCTTATGGTAAGAGTGTTCTGACTTCTCATATATTTTTTAACTTGAGGATATGTGTTATAGCAGGAAAACACAGCTACCTGTAAACCTTTGTCTAAAGAACTATTAGAGAATTCTTCCTCCAGCAGGAAGTTTATTTGAGGAGGACAACACGTGGAGATTAAGGAAGAAAAATGCCCACCTAGTCATATCTATTACATGAGTAGCCCTTGTCAGTAGAGGGGCAGACTAATGTTAGTGAATCAGTAAATGAATGTGTGTGTAACACACACATGCACAAATACCTATACTTCTGAAGTAGAGAGCAGGAATGTGTGGAGAATGGGGTCAAATGAAAAAAGGGACCTCATGGGGCTGGCCCGGTGGCGTAGCGGTTAAGTGCGCGTGCTCCGATGTGGCGGCCCGGGGTGCACCGGCTGCCGGGCGTGCACTGATGCACCACTTGTCAAGCCCTGCTGTGGCGATTACCCATATAAAGTGGAGGAAGATGGGCACGGATGTTAGCCCAGGGCCAATCTTCCTCAGCAAAAAGAGGAGGCTTGGCATCGGATGTTAGCTCAGGGCTGATCTTCCTCACACACACACAAAAAGTTAAAAAACAAAGAAAATGGGACCTCAAAAACTTATAGTAAATGAGTTGCTCCCTTTCATGTATGTAAGGTTACTGAAAAAACAGAAGAGGAATAAAATTGTTTCTCTCACTCGGAAAAGTGGGAACATTTTTCTTAAGATGTCACTCTTCCCAATCTTTTCTTCTTACTTTCATCTTTTTAAAATCCAGTGAAAGTAATTTAAACATTTCCATACTATTCTGTCCGCTGATCTGGGTAATCCTTTTGTTTTCAGCCATATAACTCATTACAATCAAGTGTAATACAAGGAAATTCTTTTGCTGGCTCTGTTCCTTTGTTGGCATCTTCAGTCCTGAGTAGGGTGTTTGACTGTCCCACATCCTGGGAAATGCCTCAGTGCTGGGCAAACTGGGACAGTCGGTCACCCTAATCCTGAATATGTGTATTATACTCTAGGAATGGGGCTGGTGGGGGAAGGGGGTGTAAGAAGGCAGGAAACCAATGGAAAGGAGAAGTCCTGAGGTATGATGGGAACATTTTTTCCTTTCAAAGAATGTTTACTATAGCTAAGAAAATGTGAAAATCAGTAAGCCAATGTCTGTGTGCTCAATAGTGAATGAGTGATTGCTGCATTAGAGATAAGTATTAAATGGACCCCTGTGTTTAGTCCTGCATTCTTCAGTACCCATACTACAAGACAAGTTGGGGAATACGAGGAATGCCATAATGATTTCGAGTCCTCCTTGAACATAGAAGAACATTCTGCCTTCAGTTGGTTTTGGTTCTCAGTACACTTTTTTTCCTGTTCTGGGTAGCCTTATTTTAGTAAGTGGAGATGTGAACATTTTTACTTTCAAATATAGGGTCTTTATGCAATTACAGACCACTTTAAACATTTGTCTATATTTATAGCTAATATTTATTTATTTATTTTTTAAACTTTATTTCTTTGTTTTTCCCCCCAAAACCCCAGTAGATAGTTGTATGTCATAGTTACACATCCTTCTAGTTGCTGTATGTGGGACTTGGCCTCAGCATGGCCGGAGAAGCGGTGCTTCGGTGCGCGCCTGGGATCCGAACCCAGGCCGCCAGCAGCGGAGCGCACGCACTCAATCACTAAGCCACGGGGCCGGCCCTATAGCTAATGTTTAGAAGAAGACTTCCTGTAACTCACCTGGCAGACCGATTTTGGGGTTTACTTTTGCCCTGGTGTCCCTTAACAAGTTTGTCTTTCTCCCCTTAGTCTTGTTCTTGGTTTCTTATTTTACAGAGAGGTGTGGGAAATGGAACTGGATAGGCTCAAGAATCAGGATGGCGAAATAAATCGGAACATTATGGAAGAGACAGAACGGGCCTGGAAGGCAGAGGTGAGAAGAGCTGCTATGTGGAAGGCCTTGATTTTGGGCTTCCAGATGCTGTATACTTTGGTATAGTATTATACCTCTAAGCTATATAAGTGTTATACCACATAGCCGTTAAGCATTTGTTTTAACTATCTAGGGGTAGGGGCCGGCCCCGTGGTGTAGCGGTTAAGTGCACGCGCTCTGCTGGCGGCCAGGGTTTGGAGCCCGGGCGCGCACTGACGCACTGCTTGTCAGGGCATGCTGTGGCGGCGTCCCATATAAAGTGGAGGAAGATAGGCACAGATGTTAGCCCAGGGCCAGTCTTCCTCAGCAAAAAGAGGAGGATTGGCATGGATGTTAGCTCAGGGCAGATCTTCCTCTCACACACACAAAAAACACTATCAAGGGGTAGCTTCATGTATGTAAAATTAATAAAGTATTTGTGCATATGTGGTTTCCTTAGATCTTATCACTAGAGAGTCGGAAAGAGTTGCTGGTATTGAAACTAGAAGAAGCAGAAAAAGAGGCAGAACTGCACCTTACTTACCTCAAGTAAGTACCTTCCCATTCTAGAGTTTTAATGGTTTTTTAGTTTGTGTGGTGTTTTTTTTTTTAGGTTTTTGAAACCTGAGGACAGCTATTCTGGCACTTGTTTTATCTTCATGGAATTTTGAAGACATCTCTGTCAGTGCAATAATAATTGTTCAGTGATTTCTCTTCCTGTATTCTAAACTTCCTCACTATCTGACTCTTCGCTTCTACAGTTTTATAGTTTTGTACTTTTTGTTGTATTGTTTTCAATTGGGTAAACAGTATCTCTTATGCTGTCAAAGCATACAGATGTCTTGGAGATTTGTTTCTTATGTAGTCATTTCTCCTCTTTCTGCCATGGGATCTGGAGGACGCCTGTGGTGTTTTCAGGCAGACAAGAACCCTCTCTCTGTGGTTGGTCCTCTTTCTCTAATACTTGGCTTAAAACATGTTGAAGTTAAAGTGAGGCAGACAACTTAGAACCTTGGCCTTCTCCTGCACCTGCTCTGACCTCTTCTCTGCAGGCCCATTAGCCAGCTAGTGTTCTGCTATCTCAGAGAGTTAGGAGTTGGGCTTTCTTTAATTCTGTAAATTACTGTTGGTTTCTTGAAAGGTCAACTCCCCCAACACTAGAGACAGTTCGTTCCAAACAGGAGTGGGAGACAAGACTGAATGGAGTTCGGATAATGAAAAAGAATGTTCGGGTAAGTGTAGTAATGGGTGATCATTGAGTCAGAGTTAATCTGGGCTTTAACACTTCTGGTGATAGGGAGGGACTTTGGGCATTGCCACTTAGGGCGTATCCTACCACTCCCCTTGTTTTCCTGATACTGGATGGTGCTGTCTTTCAGCTCAGCTGTAAAGGATCATCCTTTCCTTTCTCTCTTTTCTAGGACCAATTTAATAGTCATATCCAGCTAGTGAGGAATGGAGCCAAGCTGAGCAGCCTTCCTCAAATCCCTACCCCCACTTTGCCTCCACCCCCATCAGAGGTGAGAGTGCTGGCTTTGGGGAGTCCACTTGTCTGTGTTGGTGGCAGAGTCAGAGTCTTTCACTTGTTCTTTTTATGAAGATGATGGTTTTATCGTTATATTATTTTGATGATTATTATTTGTATTATTTGGTGTAAGAGTTGCTCATTGATTTCTGCTCTGGTTTCCTAAACTTTCGTTTTCTTCCTTTCTCTCTTGTCCTCCACCTCTTCCGCTCTGCAGACAGACTTCATGCTTCAGGTGTTTCAACCCAGTCCCTCTCTGGCTCCTCGGATGCCCTTCTCCATTGGGCAGGTCACAATGCCCATGGTTATGCCCAGTGCAGATCCCCGTTCCTTGTCTTTCCCAATCCTGAACCCTGCCCTTTCCCAGCCCAACCAGCCTTCCCCACCCCTTCCTGGCTCCCATGGGAGAAATAGCCCTGGCTTGGGTTCCCTTGTTGGCCCCCATGGTCCACACATGCCCCCTGCCGCCTCCATCCCGCCTCCCCCAGGCTTGGGCGGTGTTAAGGCTTCTACTGAAACTCCCCGGCCCCAACCAGTAGACAAACTGGAGAAGATCCTGGAGAAGCTGCTGACTCGGTTCCCACAGTGCAATAAGTAAGTAACTTTAAGGCTTAATTAAAAAAATATTTGTCGAAGAATTGCCTATGGGCTAAAATACGGGAGGTTTCATGGATATTCCCCTTGAGTATAGCACAGACTCTCTCCCCCTCAACATTTTTCTTTTAGGGCCCAGATGACCAATATTCTTCAGCAAATCAAGACAGCACGTACCACCATGGCAGGCCTGACCATGGAGGAGCTGATCCAGTTGGTAGCTGCACGACTGGCAGAACATGAGCGGGTGGCAGCAAGTACTCAGGTGAGACAGCTGCTGGGGGGAGAACTCATATCTGCTGAGATGTTGGGGAAGAGGCAGATTTCAGAAAAATTTGGGGCGGGAAGCTGCACGGCAGTCAGGAGTATCTAGTCTGCTTTCTTCCTTTGCTGGACTCGGAAATGAGTGATTTCTTTGTGTTATATATTCTGTTACTCAAACTCTCTTTCCTTACTCTGACAATGGTTCTGCCCACAGCCACTCGGTCGCATCCGGGCCTTGTTCCCTGCTCCATTGGCCCAAATCAGTACCCCAATGTTCTTGCCTTCTGCCCAAGTTTCATATCCTGGAAGGTCTTCACATGTAAGACTCTTTTTCTTCAAAAACTGGGATGTGGAAAAGCTGGGGGGTGAGGAGGGAGCAGGTTTACAGGTGGAGTGCAGGCAGAAACCATTATCTCATCAGCTGGGTCATTGGCAGCCCCAACTTGGAAAATGCAAGTACTTTCGGCAAGAAGCTGTATTTGAACAGTTCTTTTGGTGTAAAATCTTTTGCTACACGGAAATAGTAAATAGAATGATGGGCATAAAAAGCAAGGAGACCCAGAGGTTCTTTACTCTTTTGACCGTCTTTCCTCTGTTCTGCAGGCTCCAGCCACCTGTAAACTGTGTCTAATGTGCCAGAAACTTGTCCAGCCCAGTGAGCTGCATCCAATGGCATGTACCCATGTATTGCATAAGGAGGTAGGTGCTACATACCTTCCTCATTTTCCACTCTTTATTTTGACAGCTGAGATAATTTTTTTGAACATTTTACTGTGTTGATGCTCATCATTAATATCTGAACATAAGGTTTTCAGTAAATTGTGGCTTAAACATCAGCAGAATTCAGAATACTGGCAGCTAGGCTCCCCCAGCTTCCTTTTACCCCGTTCCCTTTAGGGACTGGATAAGCAGTTCATACTAGAGCACTGATAGGTCACTTTCTTGGAAAACTGACAATAAGATATGCATATCTAACTGCTGTTTCAAATATAGCATTTTCAAGAGACTTGCTTAGATGAGAGGAAAGGAATAGGGAACCTGAATATGAGATTAGTAACTCCGTTGACAGAATAGCTTGAAGGCCTACCTGTTAGAGGTGATCTTCACAAACTGACAAGTTATTCCTCTCATTATGTTACCAAGCAGAGTTAAGTCTCTTAGCAACAGAGATGATTCCTTTTTACTATTTTGTTTTTCCAAGAGGTAAAAACTGAATTTACATCTAAATTATTGGTATGGGAAAATCCTGAATATGATTTGAGGGTGGTAGATATTAGGAGATGGAAGCTCATCTCAGCCTAAATGGATCATAAGAAGGAGCAAGCCTTGATATTCAACAAAAAGCAGTTTCACACCATTATTAGCTGATTGTTCATGTTCTCTGTGAAAAGAACAGGTTCACCTGCTCTGAAGATTGTTTTGGGGGTAAGAGCCAATGAAATAGCCCTTCTAGTCCCCCATGTGAAGAGCGTTTCTGACTTAGTATACATTCATTAGACCTGTTGAACCTTAATAGCTCTCTCTCCCATCCTTCCCTCCATCTTTCCTGATGAACCTGAGGTATATCTTTCTTTCTTTCCAGTGTATCAAATTCTGGGCCCAGACCAACACAAATGACACTTGTCCCTTTTGTCCAACTCTTAAATGACGGAGCTGACTGGGGAGGAAGAAGAGGAGAAACTGATGTGAACAGGAAGCGCGGGTTCAAGATTTCTAAAACTCTATATTTATATAGTGACATATACTCCTGCCATGTACATTTTTATTCTATAGGTAATGTGTGTATAGAAAGTCTGTATTCAGATGTTCGTAAATGAAAGTATGTATATTATGCAGAAACAGTCTGTCCCCATCACCTTGCAGTTCCTTTGGGGGATGCAGATTGTAGGTAAGATGATGTTTAGTTTGGCCTTGAAATTATGATATTCCTGCCTAGGGCTGTTTTCAAATACATGTAAAAACCATCTAGGAAGCTGCTGTTGCTCTGAGGCCATCCTGCTTTGATTTGGCTCAGCCTCTAGTCCATTTTCTTAAGGCTCATGTATGCAGATTTGAACCCTGGTGCTCACCTGCTGTCCAACCAGATGCCTTGCTTACCGAAAGCCTCCAGAGGCTTTGGTGTTGTTCTAGCCACTCTACTCCGAACGGATAAAATGAGACTGATTGAGAAAAAAAAAAAATGTAACCCTAATAGTTTCTTTTCATTGAATATTTTACTGTGTTAACACTCATTATTTGTACATAGACGTTAGGTTTACAGAATATTCTGTTTTACGTCAGCAAAATTCATAATCCAAGAATAAGAACATAACCAGGTCCCATTTCCCCCACACCCCCAACAAACTTCTGTCCAGCCTGCTTCCTGGATAGTCATTCCTTTAGAAACTAGCACAACCCACAGGTCTTTCCTGGGCCAAGCCATCCCTTGCCCCTACTAACCTGGCTTCTGATCAAGCTCTGACAGACCAACCTTGTGAAGTTCTCACTTCTTCTCCTTCACTTCTGGTCTCCAAGTCTAGCTAACCCCCTTCCTCCCTGAAGGTTAAGGCAGTTGGTTCACAACCAAGTTGTTTGGTGACCTTGGGTGAGCTCCAGGCAGGCACTAGGGTGAGGAGATGTCTGTGCAAAATTTCTTTCAGAATGATCTTGGAATACTGAGTTTTAATTTTTGAAGCAAGAAAGCTGTGGGGAACATGTTTCCTGTCCTGGGAAAAATGGAGACCAAAGTGATATGATGGGAGGTTGGATTTTAAGTTTATAAGTCACTTGTTCTATGGATAGCTATCTGGAACTAGATCGTTTTTCCACCTCTGCTTAGTGAGCACTTCTGGTTTTTATTTATTTATTTATTTTTTGTGAGGAAGATCAGCCCTGAGCTAACATCTGCCAATCCTCCTCTTTTTTTTTTGCTGAGGAAGCCTGGCCCTGGGCTAACATCCATGCCCATCTTCCTCTACTTTATATGGGGTGCTGTGCAGCATGGCTTGACAAGTGGTGCGTCGGTGCGTGCTGGGGTTCCAACCCTGCGAACCCCACCCCCAGCCGCTGCAGCGGAGCATGTGCCCTTAACCGCTGTGCCACCGGGCCGGCCCCAGAGCACTTCTGGTTTTTAGATTTATGCCTGGGAGAGCTGTGACTGTATTAGAGCTTCGAATTTTTTCCTATCTTTTTATTTTTACTCCTACAGGAAGTGGCTTTAGCTCCCTTCTCTTTTGGAATTAAACAAGTAAAAACTAAGTGTTAATCAAAAAAAAAAAAAAAAAAAAGCTCCAGGGGAAGGACATTATTCTATTATCAACAGCTGAGTTTTCCCCATTCTGGGACCTGGAAATGCTTACTGGCACTAGCAGTACATATCAGGGTAGCAAAGACTTTTCCTTTCAGCTCCAACTAAACTCGCTTCTGTTTTTGTTACTCTTTCCCTCTTTGTCTTTCCTTCTTGCTGTCAGCTCATGGACATATTCCTTCTCTTCTCTTCCCTTACTTGCCTGGGTTTATTGACTGGCATCAGTGTAAGGAGCCCGACTTCACGGGACCTCATTGGCATCTTGTAGGGTGATTGAAATGGCCTGAGTACTCCCCGCTTAGAGGTCAGATGACCCACTTTCTTTGGTTAATGAAATATTAATGTCTCCAGTTTGGTAGGTGTCATGAACAGGGAATGTGGCAAAATGGAAGACCAGTACCTTTGTTCTTTTCATTTGAGGGGACTTATTTTTAATCTTGTAATCTTAAGATTTTTATTTCCCCTCAACTTTGTGGCAGCCTTTGGGCTACCTGCAATATTTTTCAGTATCTTCTGAAAATTTAGAAATGAGAAATGGGTATAAAGAACATTCTGTTTATTTTTCACAAATCTTTGAAGCCAAAGGAGTAGAGAGAAAAAAGGAGAGTATAGGAGGCTTAACTGTTTCCTAGTAAAAGCCCCTTGAAAGCCAACTATAGCGGGAGGACGGGTGTTTTGGAGAGTTGTGCACGGGAGCTGGGGCCTCATTGTTGCTCCTCTCTCTCTCTTGTTCAGGATCAATCTGAAAGCAACACTGAAGCCTTGGCTGCCCTTGTTCTCCTTTCCCTGTGTCCACTGGCTGCTGTGGTAAAAGCCATGCGGACCAATGGGAAAGGCCCCTAATGCAGTGAGTGGAGTGGGACAGTCATTTTTCTGGAGCAGAGTTTAAAAAGAGAGATATATAATACATATTTTTACAAGCAAGAAGCTGTCGTCAAGATTTTTTTTTTACACTTAGAGCTCATAGTTTCAGGGTAGAATGGAAGTAACTGTAAAAAGAAAAATAAGTACCAGTTTTCTCTTAAAAAAGATAGGACAATGAGACTTACTAATGAAGGGGTTGAGTTTTATGCCCTGGAAAGAGCTGGGAAAAAGCCAGTTTTCCCCAACATGGGTAGAAATTATAAAGCAGAATGTGGCATTTTCATTTCATGGTAGCAATTCTGGAAGTTTATTTACACAGTAGGTTCCGAGCTGGAAGTGGACAGTCTCCAGTCTTCCTGTCGGTCTTTGTGGTTATGGGGTGTTCCCAGTCAGCCAAAGCAGCACCAGGTGCAGTGGGAATGAAGAGAACCCAGATAAAAACTGTGACTCAGTATTCTTGTTTTATTGGTTTATGGCTTGTGGGCAGCTGGCTGAGGCCAGGATCTCCAGAGGCCTTTTTTGTATTTCCCTCTCCCTCATCAGGTAATTCCACATTCAGCAAGTCCCATACCTGGAAGCAGTGTGTTGACCAGATAGGAATAGGATCCAGCGGGTATACCATGAAAATTCAGCTCTTCGTGCTAACACTGGTATCATAGTCGACTGTGTTAGAACTGATAGGGAGGAAATGAACTTGGTCCCCACTACGTAGCCCAAGAACCAGCCTGGGAACCCAAGTACTATTCGAAGTGGGGAGTAGAGAGTAGGATACGGGAAGAGGATGGCCTCCATCCAGGGGCTCTTGTGGTGAAAGAATTAAGGAAGCCCTGAGGCTGCCATCCTTGCTTCAGGCAGCCTTGATAGTGAAGGCGATGATGTAGAGCCAGAATGCCCTGTGTTCCTGACACTCGTGGTGTAATACTAGTGCCCCTGTGGGATGCCTTAGCCAAGTAAATGGAGGGACATTAGAGAGGGTGAGAGGGCAGTGAAACTGCTCTGTGTTATGGTAAGATCTTACTACTACTTACAGCTGATCAGGAAGAAATCCAGGCAGAGGTACAAGGCATCAACCCTATACCTGCTGGATGAATCTTCAGGATTCTGCTTTTGAAGATTAGGTAGGAGAGGTCTCCTATCTATTCTTAGCACCTCAGCTGCAAAGCTCCAGAGGAATAGGGATTTGGGGGAGGGAGTGAACATGTAACCAGGAAGACAAAGCCCAGCCCTGCTGTGTTTGCTGTATTCCAGCTGCTTTCCCACAGGGCACCTGGGACTTAGCGGGGTTGGGGTAGTTCAGTGCTGCCTATCATATGTAGAGTAAAAGGTTCAGGTAGGGACAAGTGGAATTATTAAGGTAGAAATTTGTTTGTTGGATGGAACCTCTTAGTGGGCACTTTTCATTTAAGAGAGCTAAATAGAGCTTTTTGGCTAAGTAAGCCCTTCTTCCCATCTCACTTTTGGTCAGGCTGCAACCACAGAGAAGAAAACATTGGGAACCAACACCCATCTTACGAGATGGGATTCTGTCTTGGAGATGAAGTCTAAAACTGGGACTGGCGAGTGGGCATGTTTCTGCCTTTCCTAGCTTTGATCCCAACTGTTCCCTGTCTTTGCACTGCCTCTCCTCCTCTTCCAACTGCCCTGTTTTGTACAGATATCCAATCTAATTTTTTGTTTAATTGAAGAGAGGCAGTCTTTGCACCGATGTTAGGCTTGTTTATACAGTCCCTGTCTCTAAAGCAAATAGCAAACTGTGCATCCTCTCCTGCTGACTGTGGCCAGCAGGGAAACAAGATTGGCCCTTTCTCTGCCAGGGTTCTGCAGAGACACACACGGGGGTAACCTGGGTGTGATGCCACTACTTCTGGAACTAAGAAAAGAAGAATACTTCAGGTTAGAGAGTCAAAAGGGATGGTGGGCAAAGGTTCAGAGCTGAAGTTTCAAGCAGCAGAATTTTCCCAACTCAAGTTTGAGGTGACCAAGAATGTTCCCGCCACCAGAGCGCTTCTTTCTTCCCTCTCCTGTTTCCTACAGGTGCAATCCCTGTATCCCACCTTGCCAGCTTTTCCTTCTTTTCTGTCAGGCAGAGGCATTTGGTGGGTGGGTGAGGGTCCTGAGGTGCTCTGGCCACAGGTGCCATCTGTGTCTCCTACTCATGACCAAAGTGAACCACCCAGATGTGGTCCAGGGGAATCTCTGTCTTCTGCCCATGGATCTCCTCACTTCAGCAGGGAGATGTCATCAGCAAAGTCATCGTGCTGATGGCGCAGGCAGCGGAGGCAGCGCCACTGACACACCATGAGGCAGAGTGGCAGCATGAAGAGGGCGCAGATGGCAGCCATGACATAGGCTATGGTCATGAGGGTTGATTCATCTGTCTGTGGAATGTTGTAGCCACAGTCTTCCATGTCCAGGGTGACAAAAGGGCCTTCCACCGCTGCTGTCCTGAACTCATCGTGCACTGGAGAAAGGGCAGATGGGAGTGGGCAGTTCTCGTTATCATATAGCAGTTTGGATTATACAACAGAAGAACTTCCTGATAGTGAGGCCTTGAACTTAGCCCCTGAGGAGGCTGTAGAATCTCCTTCCTTGGAGATATTTAGGAGCAGGACAGAAAGCCAGTGCTAGGTGGAGGCCTGTCTTTCCTCCCAGGTCGTTGGGAGCAACAATCCTTTCCTGTATACCTATCCAGTAGGAATGATACCTAAAAGTCAGTAGTTCTGAGCTGATCAAAAAGCCAGCCCCATATACATCTGGTAAACTTGCTGCTGCTGAAATCCAGTTGCAAGACCCTTCCCCCATTCTGAAGTAGCATTCAACCTCTTTACAACAGCTGACAGGGTCACTATAGGCTCAGCCTGCTGCCCTGGGATCTAGAGCTTGCCAAGGTGCCGAGAGCAGGTCCTGCTCTGGGTCTCCAACAGAGGTTACCAATCCAGGCAGGGTCACCATCCCAGGCAATACAAAAAAAGCACAGGCACTGACACTAGCTTGTGCAGAATATGTTGACTCTGGCTTGAGGCAACTGTTACGACCTCCCACACCGACAGGGCCCAAGTGTCCTAACTGCTGGACAGGGAGAACATGCATAGACTGGCCCACACCCTCATCCCCGGTGCTCTCACCATGGCAGGCACTGACAGCAAAGCCAATTCGTTTTCGGGCTCGATCAAAGACAACGTAGAAGCCCTCCATGATAACAGCTCCCATAACAGTGCCTGTGGATGACTGTGAGATGGCGAACTTGTAACAGTCGTCTTGGGATGTGGCCACGTCTTCCACTGGCCGCAGGTATTGCTAAGGATAAGCAACAAAGCGTGACAGTGTGTCTTCCTCAGCCCATCCTTCCCCACCTTTGCCTGTAGGCCCTTAGGCAGCTCTTCCCTTTGTCATCCCTGAGCTGTGAGGGGTTGGTTTTTCCAAGAGCCCTTGACCACTGGACACTCATCTATTTTGTCTTCCAAATCCTGAGAATCCATGCCTGTTCACTATCTCCCAATATGTACTTTGTCCTCTTCCTGGGATCCCACTGACTCAGGTTGGGGACGTACCTGTGGAAGGATAGTGATGCGGAAGGACTGATTGGTGACCTCCCCCATCAGGTAGAGTGAGATGACTGGGAAAATGTTCCAAGGGGTAGTGCCTGCTTGCCAGCACACCAGCTGTTCCCCGAGCCAAAAACCATCTGGGAACTTCTCCGTCTGTGTTGGCAAGAAAGGGATAACCATGAGGGAACAGCCTCTTGCACCATCTCGCCTTTCCCATTTTCAGATAACACTCACTAGGCCCTTGATTTGCTTTTCCGTGGACTATCCAAACTGGGGAACGGTAAGCTGAAACCCAAGGATTAGAGGAAGAGGGCGGGAGAGTGAGGCCAAAACTCTCTACCAGGGGGATTGTGTGATGAGCAAACTTAGGCCCATAAAGGAGAATAGTTTTAAGAGATCTAAGTAGAAGGATCTAAGGGTAGACATCTTGGTTCTTGTTGAGGAATGTGAATTTCCCGGACTTCCTCTGACACACTGTCATCTCTTGTACCCCTGTCCTTAGTCCCACTGACCGAAGAGGCTGCCTTGATGGATTTCACAGCAGCTTCAAACACTTTCTTGGGCAAACGAAGGTTGGTGGTGCCACTGTCCACGATGCTCTTGTCATAGTTGTACTAAGAGGGAGAAGAGAAGGTTAGAAGAGTCAAAAGCCTTTTGATGCCAGGCTCTGGCCAGACTTGGAGGGGTGAGTCTGACTGCTTGTAGTCCTGCCTGGGTTGGCATCCTGGCTTTGCTACTTCTTAGGTGGCAAGTTACTTAACCTCTGTGCCTCAGTTTCGTCATCTTTAAAATGAGGATAATAATAGTACCTACCTCAAAGAGTTATTAAAGGATTAAATAAATTATTACATTTGAAGCACTTAGCATGGTGCCCGGCACATAGGAAGCATTCAGTAAATGTTAACTCTTACTATCGTGAGTGGGCAGACATTCTCCAAATCTTGAAAATAAAAATACTTTGTATAGTGCTTTAAACTTTTTATAGTACTTTTATATCTAGTCTAATTTAACATACATTAAGAACGTAGGTAAGCAAGACCCAAATGGTTTAGCTGCCATGTATTGGGTACCGCTATGTGCCAGGCGCTGGGAGAAACCCTTTATTCATTTTCTCTACCTTCCTCAATCTTTGGAAAAGCTGTTTTTCCCTCTGTTTTGCAGGTGAGAAAACTGAAGCACAACATAGTAACTTGCCTGAGGGCACTTAGCTGGTAAGCAGAGCTAGAAACCCAGGTCTTTCTGACTCCAAAGCTGGACTCTTCTACCATATCACACTGCCTCGCAGACGACTTGCCCAAGGCCATAAAGCAAGGCTGTGAATCAAGTTCTGATACGCTTTTTTCCTTACTAGACCATAAGCCACGTGGTCCTGTGAAAGTGCTCTGCCAGTCCCTACCGCAACCTCAGGTCCTGCTATGTGACCATTAAGCTCCTGACTGTTCTAGGCGCAGCCCCCAACCCTTTCCGCAGGTCCTGCACCTCTGCCTCATCCTCCCAACCCCATAACTCAGGGTCTGACCTCACGCTATGTTGCCTCCTCCTTTACCTCTCCCTGGTTCTCCCTTGGTTTTATTACCTCCTTGCAGTCCATTTTCAGATCCTGTCCATTGATCTCCACCCGCACAATGATCACCTCATAATACCACTCCCGCCGGATGGGTGTGTACCAGAGGCTGCCTGTGTACAGCGAGTGATCGATACCCCCAATGATCTAGGGAGAAAAAGAGGCAGGTGCACGAGTGTCAGCACAGAAGGACAGCAAGTCACCCAGAAAGCAAGCAACAGGATCAGTAATTTCTGGGGGTGGCAAGGCCTGCTATAGATCACCTTTCTCCTCTGCCTGCTTCTGATCAAATCATGCCCCAAAGTTGTTTATAGTTTCTTAAATGTGTTAAAAATGTGTTCGGGGGGGAGACTTTCCAGGATTTTTAATTATTTCTTTGAGAATCACACAGCCCTTGATATAAAGTTATTTAAACCTAAACTGACACAATAAATGTTGAATGAATGATTATTTGCTTCTATTATAAGTTTGTCTCTGCTTGTTGGAGATGGAGCACCATTTGCCATTTGTCATAATTAATTAATAAATAGACTTTTAAACTGCTTACCTCTCTACCCTCTGATCATCAGACTAAATAATCTTAATATGAGAAGTCTTATTTTCATTTTCTTTGAAATTTTCCTAATCATCTCATCCTTTCCAAGTTTACTATAGGTGCCTCAAATCCTTTCTGGAATAATGCAAGGAAGGAAAGAAGGGAAAAAGAAAAGTGGAGTGGGGAATATAAAGAGGCTTCTCTTGATTGTAGATAGTGGAGCCCAAGACTGTGGTATAGCCATGGGGTGGGGTGGGGGGGCAGGTGGTACCCATCTCTGCCCAGTGCCTGGACCTCCCCTCTCCTAGGATCTACTCACCATGCTCCCTCCAACTGAAGCCAGCACTTCTGACTGGTTGAAGGGGAAGCCAGCACCACAGAGCTGTAGGGAGAAGAGGTTGGGAACGTGGGTCTGCTTTACCAGGGAGTCAAAGAACGGCTCCAGGGAGTCATCGGGCTGTGACAGAAAGAGACAAGGAGTGAATCCTCACACAGAGGGCTCTAATAGAAAGAGGCCTGCTTCCTGCCGAAAGTGGAAGGCAAGAGGAAAAGCCTGGGGGATGTTCCTTGGGAAAGACTATCTTGAGGCACTGAGATTTGGCAGAGAGGGTTAGCAAGAGACACTGGCAATGCAAACAGGAAAGGTCTATAGGATCTTTGATCCCCATGTGCTTAACCTGTTTCAGATTGATGGGGGCCTCTCTTATTTTCTTAAAGATCTTAGAGTATAGAAACCACAGTCTGTTCCTGTACCTATCACAGCAACTCTCACTATAGTTCTGCCCTGTATAGGGATGCAATTCAGACTGCCACCCTATCCCCCTGTTAAATAATCCTTTAAACTGAATTGTTCCCCTCCCTTAGTTCCCTCCCCTTCTCTCTCCCAACTCCGTCGCTGTGTAGCATGCAGTGTGCAATGTGCAGACATAGTGTCTAGGGCTAGGCCTTGTTCTCACCCTGGCAATCTCAGCATAGGCCAGCCCCAAGATGCCCTCCCAGTTGGAGCCATTGATGAAGAACTTGTCTGATTCAGTGATGGCAGCGATGTTGGCACGCACAGTGACGTTGGGGCCATGGGGGATGCTCACCAGGTCGGTGCCCAGCTCCCCCTCCCACTTGCCCTGGGTGTAGGGCACATACACGCCCTTCCGGAGGTCCCGGTATGTGCTGGACCTGTGGAAAGGAGGCAGAGTTCTGTGGATGCATAACCACAACACCTGGTGAAGGGATCCAGCATCTAATCTACTCCCAAATGTGAGACCTTATCTCAGGGGTACCCTACATAAGGTAAGGTGCTTTCAGGCTCCTCAACAGACCATCCGTAGATCAGTCACCCAGAACAGAATGTAAAGTGACCTTGCAAAGAGATGAGGGAGCCATTGCTGGGGCTCACTCTCCTGTCTCCATAGCTCATATTTCTAGATCTTGAGCTCAGGCCCTGCGAAGAACAAGCCTAGGCTTTGTGTATTATGTCTGCTGCCACTGAAGGGACAGCCAGTGGGCATCTCTTCCTCCCCCCAACTCCGTCAAGCTCCCAGAGAAAAGGAGCCATTGACTCTTGCTGCCTTGGGACCTGATGGTACCATCTGAGTGGTAGAGACAGTGCCAGGTGGCGTGAATGTGGAACCTCTACAGCAAGTTCTTCCAAAGCAGGGATTTGCACAAGCATCTCAGCAGGGCACGTAGGTATTACACACCACTTGTGTGAAACATGCTCATCAACACATGACACCCCCACCTGTGTTTAATCATGCCCCTAACCAGGGCTCGTGTGTGTGTGTTTGTGTGTGTGTGTATGGGACTGGGATAAGAATCCAGGACGAATTCCCTTTCATTGATTCTGACCACACCCCACTCCCTGACTGCTTTCTCTAGACAGGGAAGTTAAAGGGGAAGGGGCCTAAGAAGGCAGGAGATAGGGAAGGTGGCTTTGGCATCTGCCTGGAAGTCCAAGAATAGGATTTAAGCCTCTACTCACATGTTTTCACACACAGGGAAGCCTCAGACATTAGATGTCCCCTCTGCTAAGGGCTTCATCCCTCACTGCCTCTCTTACCTTAAAAACCCACTTCAACCCTCCCTTCCACCAGTTAGTTAAATCCAGCTGGGGGACCTCTGGGTGGTATGGGGAGGCATTGTAGCTTTTCGGCCCTGACACTGGTCCAGGCAGTGGGATCTATGGCAGGCTCTTCCTTCACTTCCGTGAGCTGTGCAAAGCCACTGGGAGTAGCCCACGGGTGAGAACACTGCAAAGGGGGCTGCCGCTGCAGCCCGCTCCACCTAGACTTGGTGTTGTCAGAAAACTGAGAGCCACTGAGGGAGTGTGGGATGAAGTCCACGCCTCCCCACGCAGGCAGAGAGAATGAGACCCCTGAGATGGCTCTGAGAGCTTTGGGGCTGCTCTCCGTCCTTCTTTCCCTCCCACAGGAAGCTGCCCTGCCGCAGTACTGAAGAACATCCTGGCTGCCCCTCAACTTACCCTCTACTAAAGGAGATAGTACACCTCCTCAGATCCCTGTCTCTCCACTCTTCTCTCCTGGTCACTGTTGCCTTCTTTTCCCATCCCCTTCCCCAGCAGGAAGAAAGGACCTGAGGAGCTAGTCTTTCTCCCTGCAGCCCTCCCCTGACCCTTCTTGGCCCTGGATCCTTGGGAAGGTTTCTTCCCTCCAGCTGTCCCCAGGACTCACAGCTGCCTCTGGTAGTAGCGATGCAGGAAAGGGTGGGGGGCAGCCCCTACTGCAAAGTTACTGCTGCCTGTGTCCACCAGGATGTTGAGCTGTCAGAGAAAGGGGAGAGAGAGACGTTATTGACACGAGGCCCTGGACTCACCACCTCCATCGTCCTTCACCTCACCGGCCACGTAGTCTCCCTTTGGGACGTCCAAGGTGAAGCCTTCACGACGCTGGACTGGACAGGCTGGCATGTGCTACTACCATGACCACAGACAGAACAGGGGGTCCCGTGGCATCCTCTTCATGGCTTCAGAAACCTTGTGTCTGCTTCTGTCTTCTCTGTAGAGTCGTAACATTTTCTGTGTCATCAGAGCCTCATTCTCTCTGTGCGTGTATGTGGTCTCCATTCCCGTTTCTCTCTACCATCAGCTCGCCCTTACTCACGTTGTGTACCTGTCTGATTCTGTCTTCAGAGCTTGCCCTTTCCTCTCCTTTTCTGGTTCTCCTAGGAAGCATATCACTCAGCAGGCAGCCTGGCTCATCCCCTCCAGCTCCGAGCTATTCTAGGAGCTGGCATTGGCGAGGGGAGCTGTGGGGACCAGGATGGCACGTTGGTGCCCACGTTTCTGACCCTGCCTGCCAGAATGTGGCTCCCCATGAAGGGCTCCCCTTCTGTCTCAGAGGTGACATAGACCTCTGAGTCCTACTGTCAGAAATAGTGGGGAGCTAGGAACCCTGTATGATGTCCCATCTTGTCAGGGCCCTGGTTTTGGCTAAATGAACACGGACAGGTGTCTCCTTGGTTCCTTCTCCTAGCATCTTTTACCTCGTCCCTCCTTCCTCCTCCAGTGGCCTGACCCCTCTCTCGAGTGAGTCCAGAGCCATTTTTTGAATGCCTACTGTACCCTCAGAGACAAAAAGAGGAAAGGCCCCTGTCCTCAGAAACACCGGGATCTGTAAAGTGAATCCTCTCTTGCCACCACCTCAGCTTCTCCCCTGACCTCAGGGCCCTTCATGTCTGTATCCTCTCTCCTCCGTGCAGTGAAGTCAGCTGACCTCACTTTCGCTGCAGGCTCTGACCTTGTCACCCGGGGCAGGTCACTGTGCTTCTCTGGGCTTCAGTTTCCTCCTCTCTACCAGATCCTCTCGCGGCCTGTGGCTCCTTCCTGCTCTCAGTGGTCTTCTGTGGCTCTGCTGACTGCACCTCCCCCAACGCCCGCTCAGGCTTCCTGGCCTCCCCGTGTCCCCAAAGACTGCTCTCTGCTGTCACCCCAGCCTTCCTTCCCAGCCCCCACTCCTGGCCTGGTGCCATCTCTCTCCCTGCGCTCCTTCCCGTGCTCTCCCCCAGCCCTTCTCCGTGGTGTCTGAGCAGCCACCAACTCCAGATGCTGCACTTTCAGAGAATCAATAGAACTGGAGGCAAAGCAGTTCAGATTTCAATCAACCAGGTTAATGATTAAAAAGGCTGCTTTACCCACCTACTCCCCAGGATCCCCCTCCCCCACCTGCCAGGACTCTGTTCCCAGTACTTGGTCGGTCTCATATTTACAGAGATCCTTGCTGTCACTGGACCCCCCAAAAAAGAGGGTCTACCCCACAACACTGGTCCCCGTAGCTGTGCGAGGGAGAACTACCTGGAATGTGTGTGCCCGGCTGGCTCTAGAAAAATATGACCACCTTTTACACTGGAATGCAGCTTTTATCTGGGGGCTCTGCATCCCAGCTGTTCCGGGCGCCCCCCTCCCACTCCTCTGCTCTCCTGCGGAGCTCTCTCTGCAGGCCACTCCCTCCCCAGCCAGGAGGTCCAGTCACTCTCATTGCCCTTCCAGGCCCAGCCTTTCTCCTCGTCTGAGGAAGGTCTTCCCCTTCCACATAAAGGGGGTCAAAGCGGGGGGGGGGGGGGGAGGAATGACCCCCTCCACTCCCATCCCCCTCTCTCTACTCCCCCTACTCCCCCCCATACCAGGAACTCAGGCCACCACTGCTCTCTCTGCCTCCCCCTCTCCACCCTCCACAAAGAAATGGGAAACCGAAATAAACAGTTGCCATTCCCCCCTGAGCTAATGTCTGACTGTCTGTTTGCCCTTTGCAGTGTACGCCAGCTTCTGAGAGGAGTGATTTCCGGTCCTGTCCTATGTTTCTAATGCGAGCCCCCTGGGCTGCTCCCGCAGCCTTTCTCCCCTTCCTGCGCCCACAGAGGCCTCTTACAGGGCAGGGGCCTTAGGCAGCTGAGCCACCGCACTCCTGAAACAGGGCAGTTAAGGGCAGCCTGAAAGAGGAAAATAAGTGGTGAAAGGGTTGCGTGCAGCCAAACCTTTTTAGCAGATGCCCTCACCTCTCATTTCACCCAACAGAAGCCATCAGATGGGACCCCCCTCATCTCCCACAGCCAATCACTGAACCCTGCCTGCAGTTGCGCTGGACAGCCCTTTCTCTCAGCTGTCCCTACTCCTGGCTCAGGAGTGGACTTCTACCTGGGCTTGGGAGACAATTCCCTCCTCCCTTCTCAGGCACCTTACCCTGTGAACCCTTTCCCTCAGGTAGACTGAACCATCATGCCAGCTCCCCACCCACCCCCAAGTCTTCCTATTGGCATTTACAAATGCTTCAGTCTCTTCATTAAAAAAAATCTTTAATTTCACATCCGCCTCCAGTTACCTTCTCTCCTCTCCCTTCACAACCAAAGTTCTCAGCCAAGCTGTCTTCATTTCTTCACCTCCCACTCATTCCTCAACCCATTCTAAAACTGAGTTGCACCTCTATCCCTCCCTCCACTATAAAACAGTCTTTACTACAGTTACCAATGATTTCATGTCACCAAATACCAAAGACATTTTTCAAATCAGTCCTCATCTTACTTGACTTCTCCGGAGCATTCAACATTGCTGACCTCTCCCTCCTTGAGACACTCTTCTCTGTCACCCCATCCTGTGATTGGCCTCCCTGATCATATCTTCTCTGTCTCCTTTGCAGGGTCGCTTCTCAAGCCTTGGGCTTTGGCCCTCCTCTCTCACTGAGACATCTCACCCATGGCTGCGGCTGCAGTTATCACCTACATCCCGACGACTCCTAAGCTTATAGCTCTAGCCTTGTCCTCCCCTTTGAGCTCCAGAAGCACATACTGAACTGCCTCAAAGATACTTCAAATTCAGGATGTCCAAAACTGACCTTACAGTCCTGCCCTTCTGTCTTTTCCCAGTGTTCCCTATATTAGTGAATGATGTCACCATCCATCTGTTCCATAAGTCAGCAACTTTGGAGACACCCTAACGCCTTCCTCTTCTTCACATCTCTTTCCAACGCATCAACGAGTCCTGCCCAATTAACCTTCTTAAAAGTCTCTTGAATTTATTCATTTCTGGCCATCTCTCTTGCCAGCCTTAGGCCAAGCTATCATCTCATTGTCTCATTTTGGAATATCACAATAGCTTCTCAACTGGTCTTGGCACGTCCACATTTGACCTTTCCACGCTGTTTCTGCGCTTTGGCTAGTGTGATCTTTTCAAAGGGCAAATTTGACCATGTTACCTTCTGATGTCAATGGTTTCCCTTTGCTATTAAAACAAAAACTTAAAGCTTGAACATTTCCTACAGGGCCCTTCATGCTCCGGCCCTACCTACATATCCAGCCTAGCTTGTCCCATTCTCCTCCAAGCCCTCTGCCCACCAGCTACCCTGGCCTCATCTCAGGTCCTCAAACCAGCCATGGTCCCTCCCGCAAAGGCTGGTGAGTGGTCATTCACTCTGCCTAGACCATCCTCCTTCCACCTGCAGTTTTGTCTGCTCATCTATCATCCTTCAGTCTAAGCCCAAAAGGACTTCCTAGGGGAGAAAGAGTAGGTCATATTCTCCTATTAAATAGGAGTTCTTCTATAGAACTTTCCACTCTGTAATTTCACACTGAATCTCACCGTCTCTTGTACCTAATTTTTAAAAAATCCCCAGTGTGTCCCTAGTGGGTATCATAGTGCCTGGCAATAAGTATTTCTTGAATTAGTGAATGGTTAAAGGAAAGAAAGGGGAAAGAGCTAATCTACCCTATTTTGGGGGTAAGGGAGGGATCCTTCAGTGGCTTTCAAACTGTGGGTGTTTTTATAGGTGTGGCTCTAGCTCAGACCTGCCTTCCTCTCACCAGACCCCCTGGTTTGACACAGGATGTGCATCTTCAGGCAGCCTTCGGTCCTGGAGCCATCTTACTTCTTCCTCATCCTTTGGGGCCAGGCCCACACAGGAGTCAACACGTAGCTATTGCCTATAGATGCCCAGGGGGCCGCAGCCTGGGGTCAGGGCTAGGTCAGTGCCAATCACTTAACAAACAAATGTGCCCCAGGAGGCCTCTGAGGGAAGGCAGCTTCATGGGAAGTGCTAACAAGCCCCACAGGGATAGGCACACCTGCTCGGTTCATTCTGCAGGCAAGGCTCCTCTGGAGGAGTTTTCGGTAGTAGATCTTGGGTGATAAGATAGGTATGGAGCAAGTGAATTAAGGGTAAGCTCTTTGTTCCCCAAATCCCACCTGTCTGGGCCCCAGCTCTCGCTTGCAGACAGGGATAACTCAGATTCTTCTGGATGGGAAGACCCCTCAAGAGTCATCTGTCCACTAGCCTGGAGAGACGGGGGCCCTTTCCAATTCTGAAAGATCTCTAGTTATTAAGATCCACAACCTCTCTTGGTAGCCTATCCCAGGGTCTTACCACTTTTGCAAGCCTCTGACAGGGGGCTTTAAGTCTAATTCTTTCTACTAAAGATGAAGGCAGTCTTCTTCCTTCTGTGTGGGTATCAGAGTTAATGGGGGAAGAGCTCTTATACTCATATATAACAAGCCTTTTAGGTAAAGGTGGGATGTAGAAGCCTTTCTTGCATTTTACAGAGGAGGAAACTGAGACCTAGAGTGAGTAAGCAACTTGACCCATCTTACACAGTAAGTCACAAAGCTAGGACAAGAGTCCATTGATTCTGACCAATTCTAAGTCTGGTCTGTCATCTCCTTGACCTTCCTGTCTCTCTCATTTGGGAAGGAGGTATATGGTAGATTGTTACACGAATGAATCACAGCCCCCTGTATCCATGCCCTGCTGAGACCCCTGTGACATTTTTTTTTTGTGT